ATGTGGGACTAATCCACAAGTAATAAATCAATTAATATGATAGATCAGACCCCGAGATCGATGTGATGAAGCATCCACCGTACACGCAAAATCTGCATGAGATTGCGTTTTTGCGCTTATGTACCCAGGAAAAGATCCGTGTACACGGAGACGAGCACCTGCTGTTCTGTTCTCCAAACATCTAATTTATGCTTTTAGTTCAATGTTTCGACCGGTTTCGCGCTCTGAGTATAAAGCTAAGCGCCTATTAACTGTTCCTTAACCTTTTGTTGCTAAACGTGTTTCCCAAAGAACTTGGTTTCTTCAAATTTGCGATATACTTTGCTCCGGAAGACGCAGTTTTACCAACTACAAGTTTTTAGCCATTCAGTTGATCTGAGGCCACTTTGTGAGGCTCTACTACGCTGCCCACCGTTTTCAGTACACCTAATGGTCACACCAATATGTGTTCCAAATGACACTTTCATCTGACGGTAGGTAAGTATTTATTGCATCCTATCGGTAAATAATTGGGGGATATTGATTGTGCCCTGGATCGTTTGTCGAACCATGTAGCTGAGACTTCGGTGAGCACAGGTTACAGGTGTTTTATTGAAATGTAGAAGAGACAACGGGCAGCGCTAGAGATGGCAGCACACTATTCAAGCTTCCAAAGTTTCGAGTAAAATGGTAGGGATGTCTGATGTATACTAAGTAATTTCGCAAAATAGTAATTCATTGATCTGTGACAGTAATCGGACAGTAGACCGTTGATTTTAAAACAATGTTTTATTGAGTTAACATCGAATGTTCCGTTAATTCATTTTACATTGCCGTGTTGCTAAATATGGAATCAAATAAGACTCCGGATTGCAATGGGTCACACTGAATAAATTCATCAGACTTTATGATTAGCCGAGCTGTCCAAAATTATATTTATGTGTAGAACAAGGATTCCCGCAGAGCCGGTTTTGCTCGCTACATGGAATGAGGTTTAACGACTCCATGATTTTTTGACCAAGGTTGACACGTTCAACGTCGACCTCATGAACACGAAACGTTCATTGGTCACCAAGCATTGTTGGTTTTAACCGATTTAATTTTCTGTTATATTGTGTTTCAATCTAGGCCAAAACCAACAGCCCCTAGGTCAATCATTATTGACAGACTCTCGGACGAGTTGCCAATTTGTTCCCTCCGGGAATCCCAACCTCGGGGTTTTAGGAGGTTCGTCTGTCGCACCAGATAAACAACTCTGTGTCGGTCGTTATGAGGAAAACACCATATGATATTTATTCGGAGGGCGATTATGTGTGCTGGGATTACCGCACATGGAAGGTTAATAAATCTCACTGGTTCTGGTGAAGCTGATTTCAAAACTTTCACGTTACAATTCCGGAAAGATTATCCTCACACCTATTGAATTTTTCATCGAACACTTGTGGTGAAAATGCCCAGTAACAAATGCGTGAATTTATTGGAAAAAGCCGTTCATCTACCAACCACATATGAGATGATGTGGATTTGTTACATATCTCTACGGACTCATCACAATTAACTGATGTCCTGAACTAATAAATTGTGTTTCATCGAATTAAATTCTACCAAGCTGGATCAACACTGCATGCTCTGGGTTCATTTTCATAGGGTCGACAGATTATTTTTCGTCACCGGTAAAATGCGCAATGAATAAAACTCTAACGTTTCAAGCCAAGCCGGCCTAGCAGGCACGGCTACACAGGTTTTGTGGGCAACATGATTGGGGCTTTTAATGAAAGCTATGAAAAGTCACCTAAGTTCATTTGACAACACTTGGGTGAACGGCATCCCCGTCGTCGCTACATACTAATTGAAATTCAATAAAAATCAGCTTGTTATTGGAAAATTTCCAAACGGCATTTTTCCTTTTGATGAGTTCCAGTTTTTGTCACCCCTCCAGAATGGCGTCATTTCACAGACAGATTAATTCACGTTTGTGCGCATGACAAACAGGGTGGAGTTTCAAAGCCACGGCGAACAAAGCAGTTGCTATTGGGGTGATAACTGAAAGGTTATTGGTATGTGGATGCATTAGATTTTTTTCAGACACCATTGCTTATTTGAGTGAGTTCAAATGTATTTGTATGAGTCAGACTTCGCACGTGGTCTTCAAAAATCCTGGAAATTTCATGAAAGACTCGCTAGATTTTCTCTGCAGATGATTTCGTGAAAATGAATTCGCATTGGATATTTTAACGTGTGGTGGTGCATGATCTACAAATTATGTTTGCTGGCTTCGACTGCACGCAATCGCATTTGAAATATTGGTGCATGTAGTCCACACACTTTTATATGCCGTCACAATCACCCCAAATTTAAATATAACACTCAGTGGGNCCATCAAACCTTTCATCGCCATCCAAAATGGGCAAACAGGCCAATCACTCCACCACAGCAAGTACAACTGGAGGCGGTAAGAAAAGTTTAATCCTGAAAGAAGTTTGTACTTGTAATTTCATTTCGCTTTACCGTCGAACGTTGGCAATGTTAGCAGGTGGCATTTCATAAGAAAACTTGCAATGTACATCGGACTTTTGTAGTTCACAAATCAGCGGAATCAGCTCCAAATATAGCGGGACGTAAAATGCCACATCATATCATAACGCAGGCCCCCTTTCCATAATGCGTCGTACAATGTCTTTCAAAATGACTTCAGTATATCGCATTTTACACACACTCATCGTTAGGACGGCTGAATATCTGCGAACATGTTTCACCAGCCATATATATAACCCGAGAATTTCACAACAAACAAATCGGACGGAATAAGCAAAATATTGTTCAACATCCTTACAGATTATTTCTACGCACCAGACAACTTCGGAGTATTTCACTGTTCAACCCGCGAGGAACCCGGCTGCGAAGTGAATGAGCGTTCACCAAATTCTGCTTCCTGTCCTGCTTATAATTTTCATGGCTTTACAACACATCTGTGCAAAAATCATTGCTGCAGAAAAGATGAAAATAGAAGAAAGTGTGCTATTCCTTCTGAAGCACCCATCATCAAGTTTTATGGATATCTACCAGTTGATTCATTGAAATGACCAATAAATTCCCGCTGTGTGCTAATCTACGGCACCTGAAATCTGCCCCTACTGAGGGACACGGACCCGGATTACATATGGAGCTGCGATATTTTAATAGCTCGTGCACTCTGTTTGCAGAACCGACCAGAGTCCGTTTTCAGATCGTTGTTCTAAAACGAGGTCCTGCCAACCTCACGTGTTCTATATTAATCCAGAGCTGTTATTGTGAGATGCTGCGTAGACCGTGGCATTTCTTATCGTCGCACACCTCAAATATTGGGACATGCTAGCTTATATGAGACAATCAAGTGTGCCTCAAATTCTTCGTGGCTAAATTCGCTTTTTGCACTTACAGGTCGAAAGTTAAATGGTAAATGGGCGACCAGTTGGATTATCCCGCTCGTGACCATCAGGTAGGGCCCATTCTGGCAATCCTATTTAAAGGTGCCTACGGCCTCATTGAGCAAGATTTTTTTCAGTATGATTGCGAAGCATATTTAGTGAAACCCGGAACCGTTCACAAAATCAGCAACAAAATCAGCTGTGCCTTCTCCAACCAGCTAAAAGATGTCTTGAATACATTTATGTTTCAGTCAAACTGGTCCGGTGCAGAAACAGAATGGTGCACGCAGTTTGCCTTCACAAGTGCAGACTATTCAAACTGTTCACTGGCTAAAACTTGAAATTTTCATGTGTATCTGTGCGCTTAAGTCCGTCGAAAAATTCTGTGGGATGCGAAGACGGTTTCCAGGTTTTTTTAGTAAGACCATTCCCTATTGAAGTGCTTTTACCATATCAATCAGATATCGTATATTCTGGCGTACCGAGACTTGCACCCGACTGTGCCACCAAGAAAACAACCTAAAATAATAAACGCGGTTAAAATGGACACCTCAAAATCGGCCTCTTGTGTTATCAGTGCTATGGCAGCGTGTTGTCCTGTCCCAGTTTTATTATTTAATGTACCCCTCAAAAATAATGTATGGTGCATGGCTGATCTGTGCATCCCTCCGCAATTTTGGTCCAATTAAATATAAACTAGCCAGCACACAAGTCCGAGAAATCCACAGCCAAAACTCAGAAGGGTAGCACCTGTTAGCGAGACGCAGGCATTTCGCGTTCTCTATTTTTAGTTTACGAAATCTATGTAAGCATCCATTGTGTGATAAAAAATATACCCTACTTGGGCCGAATACCTATTACGTTTTGCCGTGAATCATGAATTTTAGGATTCCAGATATCCACTTGTATACATACGACAACATTGAGTACGGACACGAATCATTTTCAAATAACACCAAGCACTAATATTATTACTCTAAATTGAGTGCAGTGAGCAGCGTCAAACTCGCCGAAAATAATTCTTTTGAAGACAATGGATTGCTGGTTTGCTCGAAAGTCAGTGGTAGGATGTCACAGCTTCTAGAACAGGGAAAAAGGCGTCCGAGGCACTGCCATTATATATGTGTGACTGGTCTCAAATCCACAAGGGTGATTAATGACAATATGTTTGGATCCAACATCACCGGCTTTCATTAATCAGCGCTTCTTATATTCATGTTTGGTGATTTTTTTTGGGCCAATCACCCCAATGTTGCTTTCTAACCAATGTTTTCCTGCGAATTCATTTCCGTATACTCTATGCCTTCCGCCGCATTTTCCATAAAACTCGGGTGACACTGCGCGAATCCGCGAGCGGTAAAGGAAACAGTAGAATGTCAGTTATATTTGTCTCCAAATACTTCAACCTTATTTCCTTCGACCCTTGGCGTACATAGAGAGACATTTTAGATTTTAGTCGTACAGATAACATAACGCTTATAACATGTTTTGGAAAAGTATACGTAAAACGTACTTTTTCTTGGTTGCATATTCCACACGGCGGCCTAAATCGGCTCTGTCGCGCGGAGCAGGTAGCAGTTGAATGTGTTAGTTGAGAGAGAGGCTTCAACCCACTTGGATGGATTCTGAACGCGTGGATATGTCAATTAAAAGGAAAGCCTTAAATAAAATGAAACGAAAGATATCTACTAAGCAGGAAACGCTCTAGAAAGTGCCACAAGTCGCCCAACCAAAGAGTCATCAGCGGAAAGTAAGCGGCTGAGCAATAGTCTACACAAAACGACAAAAATGCAGTGGTCGTGAATTTCTTGGGATGCTACAAGGAATTTCTCTACCACAAAATCAAAATATGAAGTGTAGATATGAAGGTCTGATAGCATATCTCGTTTAGCAGTTGCGCAGAAGTGAAGCGAGACTTTGATCCTAAGGCATTAGGATATCAACGACCTTACGAAATAAACCACAGGGTTGCAGAATCATCATAATTTAAGCGCCAGTGTGTTGCCTTAACCATTTCCTCAGTTACTGCGTCTCACAAAATGCCTATTGGATGATGCCCGGGGAATCAAAAGACACGATATCGCGATGAGGAATCCAGAAACCAGGGGCGATCTAGATACTAATTACAGGCTGACGAAAAAAGACGTGCCCATGACTGAAAGTTTAAGAAAACGGGTCCGCCTAATGTTCTTGGCACTTGCTTTTCTGCATTGCAAAAAGGCCTTAGTCCGAAAACCTGCGGTCTAAAGAGGCTTAAAAATATAAGGTATTGAATGGACGTTTTGAGAGTGACACCTGATAAAAACCGAAAAATCAAATTATTGCAAACGATTTCGTGGATGATTCCGGTGCGTCGCCACCTTATTTCTTAAATTTTGACCGACCAATGGATTGATTTTCACATAAATGTCTTCCTTTCAATGGACATATCCTAGATTTTTATTTTTCCACATAACAAGCACGCACGCGTGTTTTCGTTGTACGCCGTTCATACTTCCTCTAAATCGAAGGTTTTATGTCCCCTGACCTCACAAGAAGAATGAATTGTCACAGCGTTAACTAGTCATCTCCTGGAAATGCTTGCCGTAATGTCAATATTTAGATGCACGGATGGCCCACTTATGTGGCCTGAGAGATGCCGCTTTATCTGGTGCAATACAAGGTTATATAAAATTCTCAGTTTTTACGCAAATTTTTACCTAAGCGCCTTTAGGATTTCTTTTCATTTTGGCCTAATCCCCGCTTGGAATCCACTCAACTCTGCAGGTGGTTTTTTCACCCACGTGCCATCACTACTTAAGATGTTTTGGAAATATTAATTATGCGCGTTTAGTAGTGTCCATCAACCTTTGTCCACAAAGACGGTTAGAAATCGCTGAT